GAAAGTTGAAGGAGGGGAAAATGTTGTTGACATTTTGGCAATAATTAACCAGGTACCCCTCACTGTTACCATCCTTATCTGACTGTTTAACTCATCATGGATTAAATTGTACTCTATTAGACATTGAGATTCTTAAGGATAAGGAATTCTTAATCTTTGGATCACCATCACCTATTAAAATGCCTGGCATAGAGTAAGGAGAAGGAGAGAAAGTAGGATTGTGAGTATAAGAAGTAAACAATCTCTCCAAGACAAAGTAAGATAGAGGGCTTGTCAATTAATTGCATCCAAATAGATTTGTGGTTAATATATGGGGAGGAATACACAGATGATCTTTAGACTATTCTATCCTGAATCCCCTTAAACAAGTTGAGCTTACTGTATGCCAGAAGATGTTATAAAAATTCTTTTAAGGCTTTAAAAAAAAAAAAAAGAACTCTCCTTCATTTCTGATTTTGTGGACTCTGTCGTTGTTACCCCTCTTTCACTAATTCTCACACATCTACTTAATGATGTTTTTGTATCTTCTAACTGGGATGAATGCCTCATTACTAATTTTTTACTCATATCCATAAAAGAACAGAGGCCAAGCTTCATAGTTACAGTTTTTGTAGAAAACTCTGCATGAGCATTGACGAGTTCACCTGTAAGGAACACAGTCTTCTGTTTAGAAGGAAAACCCTTTCTTTCCAGAATGTGTTAAAACATTTTGCTTCAAGTCTGGCTACATTGTAAGGTAGTATCTTTAAGGAATAAGATTTGTTTACCATTTAGCTTGAAATGATCCTACCATTACTAAAAATGAATAGGATCAAATGAATCTAGAGAAGTGTAATATTCATATCACAGCTGACGAGGGCTGTGTGGAGAAAATGAGATGACCTCAGGAATAGTGGCTCCCAAGATTAAAATTGTGGCAGGGACAGTGCCTGGCATCTATCTTAATAAATGAAATGACTGCAACCTTTGCACGTACTAGACTAGATATTTTTAATATGAAAAGAAACCAAAGGTATGAGTGGAGGAAAATAAGAGCATGGAGAGCTACTAATGCCTCAATAAATCAAGAAAAGATTATTTTCTGCCAGACCACTGAAAAATCAAGAAAGAAACATATTTAAAAAGAAATATACCTCAAAGGCCCTTTCTTCCACCCACACTAACTCCATATCAACTGGAAACTCATCTCCGTTGAATTGGAACCAGTTCCTTTCTCCAGTAGGCTTTCAGAAGCTATAAATTGCATGGGAAGTGAAGGTCCATTTTTCTCACATACAAAGCAGCTGGTAGGTTTGCCATTCTTATCCTTCTTTATTCATCAGTTGTAGATTTTAGTAATGGCAAAAATATTCTTTGGGAAATATTTTCAGTACAATCATACATTGACTAAACAATTTCAAACTAATCATCATATTGTGACACTTCAGGCACTTAAACCTACAATACAGGGTATCTCACTGTAAAAAAGTATTCATCTTCAGAATCACGAACCATGTAAATATATCACATAGATGGGGAGTTGGGGAAGGGATGTGGTCATATAGTATTCCTATTCTGTGCCATTTCAAGATTTCATAGCTGTGTTCCAGTTATGGAATTTAGCAACTACAACAGAACTCCCTGAAAGTAGTGTGGGTTGCACTCCCAGGAAACCAGTTTTGCCCACAAGGAAGGTACCCCAAGACTTGTGAAGATGGATTGCGCTGGCTGTTCCAGTCTTAGGGCAGCATCTACTGGCTAATCCACAGATGGACAAAAAGTGGCAGTTTATGGCCAACCTCAGCAGTCATTTTCGGCGGAAGGAATTGTTGAGTTGGTAACTGTGAGAGTGCACGGCACTTTTTCATGATGGTCCATCCAGGACCATGGCGGTCTGAAACTATCCTGAAGTTCCAAGAAACCTATGTATCTATGCACTTTAGTTGGACCTAAGGTAGGCAAGGTTGGCTCTGGAAACATCTCTAGAGAGACATCTACTCAAGACTAGGCATCCAATGCCAGTAATGATCATCAAACGCCAATGGGAACTCCAATGAGCAAAGGCCCAAACACGGTTTAGGAAGCAAAGCCTATCTTCCCCAAAGAAGGCATCACTGGGATGGGAAGAGGAAGGGAGCAGAGCCTTGGAGTAGCCACCGAAATGCTAATACGTTCTGTAGTTTCTAATCATTCTGTCAATGTAAATGAACTATGGTAAAGAAGCATGAGTGTCATTCACATACATCTTTTGATTGGAATAAAGAAACTGGAAGCTGGAAAAGACTAGATGGACTGACCCTCAAGAGCCGTCCACCATCTTCTGCAGCACTAACCCCTGCAGTCCGTAGCGCCGCGGCCAGGGCTCTGACGCCACTGGTGGGCTCCCCTTCATGGGGACTCTGAGTGGAGAGTACAACCATGACACTGATGCCAAACTTGAGATGCGTCGGGGGACTTCCCCGGACACTGGCGCTCCTCAGAGCGACCGGCATCTCCATAACAACTGGTTTGCATTCATTCTTGGTGGTTCTGCTCGGGTGTGTGGGCGCAGGCCGAGGGGAGGCTTCAGTGGAAAGATACCTTGGGTCAGCGACTCCCTCGGCCAGGGCACGGCGCCAAGACTCGAGTTACCGCCTGTGGTTAGAGATTTCCGGAGTTTTCCCAGGTCTCCAGGAGCCGGTGGTACCCTTCCCCCACCGCCGCTACTTTCTGCTTCTATTTTACACATTAGGGGGCTAGTTTGCTTTATTGTCATTTATTCTCTTCCCTTCCCCCCGCCCCTGAAGTTTATCCCTTCCCTTCCAAGTTACTTTCCGCCCCCACGTGACCTCCACGTCCTGGCTTGCGCAGCCCCAGGAGGGGACTGGCAGGTGCTGAGCGCGGGGCTTCCGGGGAGAGCCCCCTCCCGGGGCTCCCGGACCCCGCGCCCCGCGCGCGCGCGCCCCTCCGGCTCCCCGCGGGGCTCACACCAGCGCCTGGAAGCAGGGGAGCCCCGAGATGATGCAGCAGCGACTCCCGGAAAAGCAGCAGGGTCGGGACGCGCAGCGCGGAGCCCGGAGCCGCCGCGGTGCCTCCCCTCCCTGCTCTCGCCCGCGGCTCAGCTCTGGGCGGCGCGACACGCCGACCTGCCCGCGCACGGGAGCTGTTAACTCCCTTCTGAGAAGCCATAAGCCATTAAAGCAAACGCAGTCATAACTTCATTCAGCCCAGCCGCGCTCGAGAGCTCGGCTTAACACAGGTTCCTGTGGGCAACTAGTGGCTCGCGCTGGTGCCTCTCGCCTAGTCATCCGTCCCTGAGTGGCAGAGGCAAAGTTGCGGAGTCTGATGCGCGCTGCGACGCACGTAGTTGTTCCCAAGGACAAGTCACTTGTTCCCCTCATCCTTTTCCCCCGCCTGGTCCCCCAATCCCCCCCCACACACACACACACTTGAGCATCACTCACGACCTCATCGGCTGGAGACCCTTAGTCATGGTGGGGGAGGGGGGGACGCGAACTTTTCTAAGAAGTTTCCTTTGTACCCAGGGAGTCGCGGTGAATTGGTCACGGAAACGGCACGGCTCGCCGTCGTCGTTGCCGCCCCCCTGGCCCCCCACCCCCAGCGCGGCTCTGGTTTTATTATTAAAGCGGTAGCCTGCGGACGCTGTAAGCAACAAGTCCTTCCGAGGCCTTCCCGCTCACGCCTGCGGACGCGAAGGCTTCCTTACCTGGCGTCAGGACAATCTCCTGAGCCCAGCTCAGCTGGCCAGAGCCCCAGGTGGGAGCTGAGCAGCGGGCGAGGGAGCGGTGTGCGGGCTGGGTTCTTGGTTTTGTTTTTCTTTCTTTTTTTTTTTTATGGGGGCTACCCTGAAACTCCTCACTTTCCCCGAGAACTTTCAGTGCCAAGACCCAGTGACAGAAGGTTGGGAGGCAGCCCTGGGAAGCACCCGCTATTTAGCGGGCCAGTTGGGCAGCCGGGCAGTCCTGGTAACCTCGCTCATTCATCAGAATCACGTAAGAACTCAGAGGGAAACGTGTGTCTCGGAGTGAGGGCGTTTGCGTAAATCTATAGGTTTTTCCACATCGATGCCAGTTGCTTTGTCTTCTGGAGCCGCCAAGGTGGTTGAGAGTTTAAGCTTGCGGATATTGCAAAGGGTTATTAGATTCATAAGTCACACCAAGTGGTGGGCGATCCACTGAGCAAAGCCGAACTTCTCACATGATGACTTCAAACAAGACACATTACCTTCCAGCATCTGTTGGGGAGACGGGATTTTAAGACACTTGAATCTCCAGGACAGGAAAGGCACAATGGTGAGTAGCAGAAAGCCCTGCATTCTAATTGAAAAAGCTTGACATGTTGCTTAACAACGAGCATATCACGGCTCTTCCTGGCACTTCACACGCCAAAGAACAGCAGCTACTCAGGCCAGGGGAATCGGGGTTTTAAGCAGTGCAACTTTAATTGGAATCATTTGAGATTTAACACAGCAATGTGGAACTGCGTGGAACAAACTTGGAGCTGGGGGGGGGGGGATTATATTGGCTGTTCGGGGATGTGCTTTTCTCCCAGCCGAATTGCATTCCATTCTTTGCCTCTGTGTGTGGTGTATGAGCATATTGTATGATTTATATGTGGGCATATAATTGACATTCGCAAGGAGGGTAAATTCCCATTTCAAACAATAACGCTGCTAGAGTTGGGAATAGGGGGTGGAGTGGGGGTAAGGGTGGGGTAGGGCTGGGAGTTTAGGTGCCGATGGGGGTTGGGTTATGGGAGAGAAATAAGTCACAAGTGCATGTCACCGGGAATGAAATGGGTAATCCTCTCAAAGAGAAGGGTCTCGTGAACATGTGATCAACTATTAACAGGATGTCTTTGCCAAAAAGCCACCCGCACGTGACAAAACGTAAGGAAGTGGAAGAAACCGTCTAGAGCAGTATCAAGTGTCACTTAATTAGAGATCTTTTAGCCTTTTTCTCCTGCTGCGCCGGGTGTGTAACCGCTAGCTAGCTGGAATTCATTCAGCACCTTGGACAGAACCAATGGACTTGTCCAAGGTAGTGGTACCCCAGGTAGCCTTCTCGGCCCCGCAGTAAAGCCAGCCCGGTCTCGTCCTTAAAAGGCGTCTTTTCTGAGGTTTAGCTCATACTGAGATCGGGGCTGAAGAGAGATTCAGATTTTGGAGCGGAGCGTTTGGAACGCGAGCCCCAGTTTGGTCCCCTCATTGAGCTCACTGAAGTTGGCTTCCTAGCGGTGTAGGCTGGAATAGACTCTTGGCAAGCTCCGGGTTGGTATACTGGGTTAACTTTGGGAAATGCAAGTGTTTATCTCCAGGATCTAGCCACCGGGGTGGTGTAGCCGCAAAGAAGGTAAGCACCGGGGCGGGGACCCCTGCATCCCCAATTCTTGAGCTATTTTGATACTTGAGCTACCGGAAAGGATACGTGGTGAATGGGAGCAGGTAGAGGAAGAGTGTGGGAGGGGAATGTTTCTTGGTATTTTCCCAGTTTGAATTGCCCCCCAGGGTAAAGCGAGAGAGGAAAAGGGGGGGGGAGAATGCTCATTCTTCTTGCCGATATAATGAGTTTAGTTAACTTGGACCTGCAAATGTCTGATTCCAATGTAAGATATCTCTGTCTTTTTTCTCCTCTCACCTCCTTCTTTTCCGTTTTCTTTGCCGGGGTGCGTGTGTGTGTGTGTGTGTGTGTGTGTGTGTGTGTGTACAGTACAGTAGATTCATTACTAAATATGAAGCGTTTGCACATTATTCGATTTCCTAAAATAATATGACTTTGTACTATTTAGAATCAAGCGATGGAGGGAGTGTGCGGTTGGGAAAAGGGAGGTGGAGGTTGCGGAGAGGGAAGGAGGTAACGCTAAATCGCCAACATAAAATGAATCAAGGTAATTTCAGCTCTTCTAGTGAGAAGGATTCATTCTCTCAGTGTCCCTCCCTCCCTCCCTCCGCCTCTCTCCCTCCTTCCCGCCCCCCTCTTCCACCCCGCCCCCTCCTCCTTCCTCCATCCCTCCCTCATTCTATCTCTTCCTTTCCGTCGCCCTTGCGCCTCCTCGCTGGATATTCCTCTCTGGGTTTTTATTTCTTTCTGTCTTTCCTCCCTCTCCGCGAGTTTCGGGCGCTGGCTTAGAGGGCTCCCGCTTTCTCAAGGAAAGGGGAGCAGCCGGGACCGCTCTTCATTCCCCCACCGGGCCGGATGCCTCATTGAGCCCAGGTCCGAATCCCTAAGGGGTAACTCAGGGCAAGGGGTCTTCCGCTTGGAAATTGAAGGTCCCTTCCGGACCAAAGATCCCGGGAGCGGGCCGGGGAGGGGGCCTGGGCTCCTAGAGGCGGAGGGAAAGCCGAGCACCCGGGAGCTCGCGCTGCGCCGCGGCTGGACTGAGCCTCCCATGCGCGGGGCGCGCAGAGCGCGCAGCAGCGGCGAGGTGGCGCGGCAGGCGCGGG